ACCAGACGGGCTGGAACCCGCAGTTTGGACTGGCAAAATACGGGCTTATATAAAGGTTTTCCTCTCTGTTTAAAAGTGCACGACCAGCAGCTGGCATAGTGCCTATGTGGGTGGACTCCCACGTAGTCGACCATGGTTCCAGTCCTGGACCTGGTGGTTTAAAACTCATGCCAGGTGCGTGTGCGTGAGTGCCCGAGATCCCGAGAGGAGAATGGAGGAGAAGGGATTGCGGTGTGGCCATCTCCCCTGGAGGGTGATTTCCCACTTTCTGTCTCTCTGTCTCTCTCTGTCTTTCTGGCAAGCACACACGCCCTATAGCAAAAACCTCTCTCAAATAAAAAGTGCACAAGGCAAGGGGCAGTATTTGGCACAGTGGTCATGGAGCTGGACTCCCGTGTGGCCAAATGTGGTTCAAGCCCCCAACTCGGCTGCTTAAAAACCACACCGGGTGCGTGTGCGTCACCCAAAATCCTGAGAGGAGACTGGAGGAGAAGGGGTTGCACCTCACTTTTCCTCTCTCCATCTCTCAGGTAAGTGCACACACACACACACACACACACACACACACACAGCAAGGCAGTATAATGAATGAACACCTAACACGTGACGTCTATGTTGAGGGAAGTATTAAATATGTGAATAAAGTTTCATTAGTAAACAGCTATCTTTTTTCTTTCCTGAGACATTTTTGCTATAGGGCATGTGTGCTCACCAGAGAGACAGAGAGACAGGAAGTGAGAAATCCCCCCCCCACCCTGGGGGAATGGTCACACCGCAATCCCTTTTCCTCCATTCTCTTCTTGGAATTTTGGGTACACACACAGACGTGCATGGTGTGTTTTAAGCCACCGGGTCTAGGACTCAAACCGTGGTCGACTACGTGGGAGTCCAGTGACGTGGCCATTGCGCCACCTGCTGGCCCCGACAGCTAGTACTTTTACAGAGGTCTGTGCTGGGCCCGTCTGCTTTTGGGTTTTGCTTGTTTTTAGGTTTTTGCCATAGAGCACCTGCAACTGCTGGAGAGGGACAGCGAGGGGACAGTGAGGGGGCAGCGAGGGGACAGCGAGGGGGACAGCGAGGAGGACAGCGAGAGGGACAGCGAGGGGACAGTGAGGGGGACAGCGAGAGGGACAGCGAGGGGACAGCGAGGGGGACAGCGAGGGGACAGCGAGGGGACAGCGAGAGGGACAGCGAGGGGACAGCAAGGGGGACAGCAAGGGGGACAGTGAGACATCACCCGAGGGAAGGCCACCCTGCCATCCTTTCTCCTCCAGTCTCCTCCTGGGGTTTCGGGCACATGCACACACACACCTGGCATGATTCTCAAGCCACCAGGTCTCAAGGACTTGAACCGCGGCCGGCCACGTGGGAGTCCAGTGCCTTAACTACCACGCCACCTGCTGGCCCCTGTGCTTGATTTCATTGCCCTCCGCTTTCACCAAACCCTGTCAGAGTGGCATTGTTTCCAGTGAGCAGAACAGGTGGCTGAGAACCAGAGAGGTTGACTAACTAACCGGCGCCTCAGGGAGGCCCAGGACTGCCGTCTGAGCCGTGATCTGTCGCAGAGCCCAGGCTGTGCACGGCTTCACTCCTGGGTCTGCTTTTACATTTTATGCAATAATGTTTTAGACCCTGTCTCCAGAAACAATCACTTTGAGACATTCAAACGCCACACAGACATTGCCACACCCCCTTCTTCAGAGCTCGCAGGCTGCGTGGGGTCCAGCCGTGGCTGAGGAGCAGCGTTGGAGGCTCAGGCCCAGGCTCCATACGCAGAGGAGGCATTCCGCTCACGTGGAAGTCTGTGGACGTGCCGAGTGCCACAGAGCTGAACCCTGAGCAGCGGCTAGATGCTAACTTGCACGTTTTTACGATAAATGTACACTTACGCTTTTAAATGGAAGTTTTAAATGTGTTACTGCAATTTTTCAAAAGCAGTGTCTGAGGCATCAGGAGACCCTGCCGCCCACGGGTTCGCCTCATACGTGGACCCAGCTGGCTGCGAGTGGATCCGGAAGACGGTCGTGATCCCTGCCAGAGGGGTGTCCTGCCAGCGGCCATGCCAGTGTCTGGCAGGTGACATCACCCCACTTTATCGATGATCAGGTATCAGAAAATGCAAGTCATTAAGAAGTTATACTTAGGGGGCAACAGGCGGCGTGGTGGCTAAGACACTGCACTCCCATGCCGGCTGCGGTGCGAGCCCCAGACCTGGCGGCTTGCTTTCTCACTGTCCCTCTCTCTCTCGCTCTGTCTCTCTCTGGTGAACATGTGTGCCCTACCACAAATTAGTAATAAATAAAATTAAACAAAGGCAATTGTAAAAAAGGAAAATATATTTAAAACAGTCTCTTGAAAGAGATTACATTGAAGAGAGTTAAAAAATAAAAATCAAAAACCGAAGTCTCCACTTCAGAAGAGGAAAGATCATGAAATAAATTAAATACAGAGGGTCCTAAACATTTCTGCATTTCGAACCTGAGTTATGACACTTAGAAACTTGCGAGGTGGTGCGGTTCACCAAACATTCACTTGGTTTTAATTTAGCTTATGGTCTTACCACTCTTAAGTCACAAATTAATACATTGGAAGAAAGACTAACCATTTCAGTGCGAAAAGTCATCTCCCGCTCCAAAGTTGAGAGGTGAGAAAAGTGGCGATCATTTTCGAAAAGGGTTATTAAATGTACCCTAGAAAACACAGGAAGTATCATGTTATAGAAGAACGAGCCCCACGTCCAACACAAAAACAGCTAATTACAGAGAAGCCATAAGAAGAAGACAGCTTTGATAAGAAAGGCTGAGACGCCTTTACACGCTGTTCCTCGCCTTGCACACGTTCGGGCATTTCTTTTTTTTTCTTAGAGGTTTTTTTTTTTTTTTTTTGTTATAGGGAGGGTGCGCTCTCCCGGGAGCGGGCATTTCTTTTTTTTTCTTAGAGGTTTTTTTTTTTTTTTTTGCTATAGGGAGGGTGCGCTCTCCAGGGAGAGAGAGACAGAGAGACAGAAAGTGGGAAATCACCCCCCCCCAGGGGAAATGGCCACGCCGCAATCCCTTCTCCTCCATTCTCCTCTCGAGATCTTGGGCACGCACGCACACGTGCCCAGCGTGAATTTTAAGCCCCCGGGTCTAGGACGCGAACCGTGGTCAACTACATGGGAGTCCAGCTACACAGCCATTACGCTAACTGCTTTTCCTGAGTTTGGGCATTTCTAACCACACACGTAAAATGGTCGCCTCAGCCACGCGGCAGTCCGTGCCTGAAGCTGTTTGCTTTCTTTGCTTCTCTTTCTAAGTGAGAGTGAGCGCGGGGGAGGGAGACGCAGGCAGTGAGGGAGACATAGGCATTGCTGGCTCATGCTGAGACCCTCCTGCCCCGCACCCACGTTTTTACGATAAATGTACACTTACGCTTTTAAATGGAAGTTTTAAATGTGTTACTGCAATTTTTCAAAAGCAGTGTCTGAGGCATCAGGAGACCCTGCCGCCCACGGGTTCGCCTCATACGTGGACCCAGCTGGCTGCGAGTGGATCCGGAAGACGGTCGTGATCCCTGCCAGAGGGGTGTCCTGCCAGCGGCCATGTCAGTGTC